ACAGATAGAAATTACCGGGCAAAGTCTAAACATAAATCACCAATCAAACTCTGAAGTCACTACTGCTCAATGTTCTTTCAACTTGGCTATCCTATTACTCAGCATACACTGTATGTAAAAATGTTTTGTGCAATCACAAGTTTAAGTCTGATGTTGGTGTTTTTTTTTTTTTAATTATTTGATGTTTAAAGCTTGATTTTTTTTTTTGATGCTGCTATTGTCTGAGGTGATTCCACTGTACAGTTAATTCTATTCACATAAGATGGTACGTAGAAGAACAACCTCTTCAAATTCAAATAACAAATGAGACGCTCACAAAGCAGTGTTATTGCCTTGTTGAAATGTTGTGAATTTTTATTTCCCAGGTTGCTTTTGATGACAGCCTTTTTTTTGTTGTTTTCATTTTCTTTCCAGTAATATATATATATATATATATTGCAAAATTATACTACAAAATGAAATTTCAAGCTTCAGTTTAAATATTTCAAAAACTGGGCTATATCTCTAGTCAAGTTATGAGAAGTGGGACAATGGGGGGAGTCTGTGTATTCTTAATCATGAAACACAAACCATTTCAATGCTGAATTACAGACAAACATGCATCAAATGTGTGCGACATGTATAATGTTTTTTGATGTTGCAGGAACGAAAAATGTTATAGTTTACACAATATAAGCATCATATTGCTTTAAAGAATCCATGTAGCAAGCAGACAAAGGAAGACAAAATCAGCAAGGAAGGTGTGAGTGTCTGTGCACAAGAGAAAAGGATAAACTCTGCCTGAATGCATGCATGTCTGTGTGTTTGGCCCACCAGGTTTCTTTGAGCTACAGTGTGAATGTTGCATAACAGGTTCACGTTGGGAGCTTAAGGATCCTGGAGGGTGCCAGCGTCATTTCCTGCTTTATCTACCTGCCTACTGGCTGGCCTGACAGCGCTGTTTAACATCGCCTTGAGCCACACTAGCGACATGTGTCCAAAGCAAGTCAGATCAAAATCCTCGTCTAAGAGTCACATCAATGGTGACAAGACACCAAAGGCAAAGGCTGGTGATTACACACCACAGGGTACAGTCTGAAATGTCCAGATCAATGGCAGGCTACTTTTATGCTACAAATTACACAAGGAAGCAAAATATTTTTTTAAATTCATAGTTACTGTGAGTCTTAAAATATCTTTTATAACAGTGATTGATATTGGGACCGAACCCTTGGGGAAGACTGACAAACTTTGAGAGCAATTATTTCTTACACTATGTTAGGTGTGAAGACCAAAAGAGAGAAGTAAGGGTTGCTGAATGAGTCACAAATGCTGTAACCATCTGTCTGCTTGTGCGTTTCTGTGTGTTTGCATGAGCGTGCATGTGTCTGTGCATGCGTGTGTGTGCTCCCGTGCATCTGTGTGCGTGTGCATGTGTGCCGTCTGTGTTTCCTTGTAACTTACCTCCACAATATCAGAGTTGGTCCTGCTCTCATGGGGCTCATTGTACTCGGTGTATTTAAGCAGGACCTTGTCCATGTCTGTGCTGGCATACTGGAACAGCTTGTTGGTGCTGTTGAAGATGATCAGGGCAATCTCACAGTCACAGAGCACACTCAGCTCATACGCCTTCTTCATCAGGCCAAACTTTCGCTTTGTAAATGTCACCTAGGTAAAAGAAGAAGAAAAAGAAAATTAGAGTATAATGATTAGCTGTGGGGAGAACAATGTATAAATAACTCCTATTCAGGGTAAAGATTTATGTGCACACATACAGTATCACTGAACTGAATCTGGCACCCCTATAATCAAATGAACCATTTTATCTGACTTGTTGTAATCATTTAATTATAGCAGAGAAGTCCCCCACCCTCAACATATTACCTCTGTAATGAGGGAATAAATAGCAATCTGACATAATACGTTTTCCTCTTAAAAATGAGTAGTTCTCGGCAAAACAAGCATTAAAGGAAAGTGAAGTCTGCTGATGGTTCAACACCCCCTGACTGTAACAGTCCATCCACTATACCAGGAAAAAAGAAAAAAAAGAAGCTGGGCTTACATTTAAGGAACTGAAAACACTCTGTCTCAGACAGATAACGGTAAAGAAGATCAGTTATTGCTTGTACATCAAAGCGCACAGAGGTTCATCATGGAACACGTGTCACGTTAAAGCGCCCCTTTCATATGGCCTGAATTTGCTCGCTCTCTCACTCCCGCATTTATACGAGAGAAACGCACATACCTATAGCTATTTTAATCTAAAAAAAGTTGAAGCATACTATTTTCTCACAGTGACATTAACACACATTGTTCAGCTGTTGTGTTGCCCAATTAACTGCCTCTCATAGTGAATAACCAGCAATTGATATAAATAACGGATGGGTTCCCTGCCTATGCTTGAAGCTGTTTGTTTGTGCTCAAATAGTGACAATGCACTCAACTTAAACCACAAAAATTGTCTTCTCTAATGGGGCCCTTTTTCTTTCTCTCTGTGGGTACGTGCAAGTGTATGTGTGTGTGTGCCTGTGTGTGTGTGAAGTCCAAGACCGGTAGCTTTAATAACACACGCATACAAGTGCCCACACTGTCAAAATAGAACAGCCACTATTCCTCTATTGTTTGGATCAAAACTAGAGCAGTGAAAGTGAGTTAATTCCAGTGAGCTGCACCTGGTTTCTTTTCCAAGCCATGTGTGTAAGCTCTTTGGCTGTATGGGAAAAAGAGAAAATGTGCAACTGCCAGCTTCCTTCTCTGAGCAATACCGCTTTGTGTATGTGCGTATTAAACTTTCTTTTATTTTCTTCTGTGACTGTGTGTATTATTTACATTGGAGATCTGTATCGACACAGCTTTTTACAGAGAGGAAATACTGCCAGAACTGTGCCCAGCTGGTAGCTAATGATCTCAGTTTGTTGATTAACTGCATGTTTGTCTATTCTCTTCTGACACTTAAGTGGGCCAAAAATACAGAACGAAAACCTCCCAACACTCAGTTAAACATGCTTTGAATACATTAATAAAGACTATAACCACGTTCTAAAAACCCAAGAAAGCACTTAAAGAAGAGATCTGTGTGTGTGTGGTAGATCAGAGTAACGCATGAATAGATTTGTGGCATAAATCTATCATGCATTGCCCTTCACATTTTTTACAACTCTGAGGTCTGAAAGAGGAGATAGGGTTCAATGGATATTGATAGATAGTTTTGGATTTCTTGAAATCATATCTCCCAGGATGCACCAGGGAAACTGAATATCAAACTATCCCTCACCTCCACCCTGTCTTTCTCTCTTTCTCCCTTTCTACTGAGTGTGGGTAAAACCTTACATGAACTGTCGTATCCTGGACCAGCTTCCCCACCTAAAAGTTTTCCAGTGATGTCATTGCGTCACGCCGAGCTATGTGTCAGACAACAGAGGCTGAAACCAGAGACAAGGCATTCTAACTTCTTACAAACCGGTGTGTGCAATGTCAGGTTCTGTACCTCGGCACACAAACACTCATCTGATTCACAGGCGGCACGAGGCGAAAAAGCTCCCATGGGCTCTAAATACCATGCTGACATTTACACAGTCAAACTGAAATGTGAAAAAAAAAACAAGCCTCATTCTTAACGCTGTAAGATCAAAAGGTCTCTTGTGACAATAAGATTAATTGTCATATCCAACCCACTTTGAGCTTTACTGTCCAAAACTGAACCCTAAAGTGGTCTGCCAGGCTTACAACAGCAGAGCCACGGTACAAATTGTACATGAGCGAGTAAATAAGATGACAGGACTGTAGGACATAAGGTCAAAGCAGACTATTCAGGAACAGGACATGTAGAGTGTTGTCTTCCCCTGGTGTTTTGATGCAAGGGGCACCAGGGGCAAACGCAGGGTACAGCTAGCTGCCGGCCCAGCTCCGTTATCACCCACTCACGCAGTCACACACTCTGCTGGGGCCATTAATGTTTCAAAAGGTGGCACGTGGCACGCACAGTGAGTCCCAGAGGTCCAGAGCTGCTATAGTCTCAAAGGGGAGGTCCACATGCTGCCTCGGAAAGCCCACATATCAGTGGACCACTTGCAAACATCAGCACAACTGCACACCCATACAAACACAGCAGTGTAAGGTAACAACGACACTCATTCGCCACTTCTCATTTCAACATGTATAAAAGAAAAGCAGAATGCAATCAAAGTCTTGAGCCTCACACTTTAGATGAGGAACTGTGCATGCATTTCCCACATATTAAAATTCACACATAAACTGACTTTAACAACACCACAGGAAGAGAATGAGTGTGATTATGAAAAGCCTTAACTGACCAAACAATAACACCTACATAAATATCACACCACACCCCCACATCTCAATCTGACACGTACAACCTGCTGCATCCAAATCACATACAGTATATTACTGACGCTATGCACATATACCCATAAATACACAGGCATATATCGCATGCTTTCTTGAACAAGTACACACAAACACATTTTAAAAGACAGTTGGCTTGCACATAAATGCTGTCTTGATGGTAAATACTGGTGCAAACATCATGTGGGACGTGCTAAGTCGTGCTATGCAATTTTTATATTCAGTATTGGATTTCACTGCTCAAGGTAACTCTGTCATGACTGACCTCACACATGATGCCATCATGTGACCCTTTTAGCCCATAAACATCCAAGCTGGTGATGTCACCACTTGCCTTTCCTGTGCAAGCTCAAAACAGCTCTCTCTCGGCCCACACAGCCGCTGTAAACTGGTGCGCTGGACCTGTATTCGAGGAGCTACTGCTCTGCACTCAGAGAGGGTAAAAACAGATGCTGTGAATGGCACACTTGATCTACAAACATTTACAGGTATCTGACAGTGAAAAGCCTTGGATGCCTTTCTCAGCAGAAAAAAAATGGTAATGACCAAAAAACTGAGAAAGTTGTGAAATTAGTGAAAATAAAGTTATAGTCTATGTTAATAGAATAATAAAATAGTAGGATAATGAACTTATTTTGTAAATGAAGTAAGAGTAAATGTAAGTTTTACGATGTGCCATTGTTTATAAAAAAAAAAACTGAATTATTACTGTGCTGAAATCAGTTGTTTACCTCGTTTCTAATTTAATTTCTAATTGTTCATGCACCTTCTGCTTCTGAGGCTGGTGTAAAGCCTTTGGATTACGCTGGACAATATCTATTTCTTTCACTGAATGAGGCCTCTATCCTTGTTGTTAAACCAAAAAACCCACTGTAAACCACCCGTATGTCAGTGTGGGTGTAATCTTTGTTTCCTTGGTCAGTGGGTGCCGTTAGACACACCACTATGTTAATAACAGAGAGCATGACGTTACAGCACATTTGCAACTGTGCATACTGGTAAAAGGGACCAGTGTAAGTATGTGAGTGTGGACCCAACTGTGTCTTTTCACAGTACATTGGTAACCATGGTGTGAAGTCTTCACACACACACACACACACACACACACACACACAAAAACACACATACACAAAGACATTTCTGTGGACCATAATGAAACTCTGTGTAGCCTCTGTAAATTCTCAACCTAACACACATCCTAAAAACATGCAAGACATGTTTATCAGGTAACTCTCAACACCCAACCAAGACTATGAATTGTAGCTCTGCATCTACAAAAAAAAATCATTAAGAATTTTGGCCCCTTGAATATTGTGCTGGGAAACCGTGGAAACAATCAAAACTAACTACATTTCACAACAACAGCTTAACCTTCTCTGAGATTACTCAATTGTGGAAAAGCTCATGGAGACAACAAGAGATAGCACACAATTTTCTTTCAAAATTTGGAGCCTTTCTTTAACTTTGTGAAGGAGACCAAAACACCACCACCCACCCATAATCCCATATCTACTAATAGTTTACACATAAATGCCTGCTTACTGTATATATGTACGTGCTGTTATCTAGTATAACAGTTACTTTGGCACATAATGAGCGCTCTCTCATAAGCATCGTGAACATACACTGTAGACTCACAGTGACACAAAAGCCTTATTCGTTCACCCCTATCCTCCTCCACAACCCCATCTCAAGAGAGATTCAGACACATGCACACATAAATGCATTCAGGCACGCACACCCTGTAAACACCCAAACTTGTTACCATTTTCCATTTACCCTATCTTTCGGAAATTTCCATAGATTTTTTTGCTTTTCTTTATTTTTTTCTTTATCTATGTTAATGTGTTTATATGTAATTATATATATGCTATCACTGGAAAATGAGCATAAGAAAAAAATAAATAAGTGAAATAATCAGTTACATTTCCTCTGGCAAACAAGTAGAAAAACACTCAGGATAAACAGAGGGACGAAAAAGAAAGAAGGGATAGTGGCTGATACTCTGCCACATGGGTGAGAGGGGAGAGAGAAAGAGGGGAGGGAAGAGGAGGGAGAAGAGAGGGGGCGGACGCACAGGAAGCACATTTGTATGCATTTCCTCTCATAACAGGAAGAGGCCAGTGGCTTCCCCTTCACAATGGCTTCGCTTCTGCTTCCCTCCTCCAGCCTGCTTCCCTGGGGGAGGAGGAGGTGGAGGAAGAGGAGGAGTGGAGAGACAGGCACCAAAAACTGCTGGTTAGCAAACCAAACATGGCCATGCAGGGACACACACACGCAGGCACACACACACACACAAATGTCAGTCAGCTATGGAGCAGCACGATTGGTCTTGAGACAAACACTTATCCCATTGTCACAGGCCAAGCAGGAAGACACGGGCTTACGCAAAAGGAATAAGAGGAGCCCAAGACCTGGGCCTGAACTCTGCCTCACAGCCAAAGAAGCTGTTAAGAGGGGCATTACGACAAAAGAGGCTTTGTCCCACCTCTAATATATGCTATGCTCTTCTCTCTCCTCAAAACCCCACTTATCATCCTTTTTCAGTCTGCTTTCATTATACAGTAGGAACAAGAAGCAGCGGACTCCAAACATTTCTTCATTCAGTATCTGAATCGAAAGTGTCCACTTTGAGTAGTTAAAAGCTAACCTGTAAAACTGATTGAGTGGTGTCTTAATTATGCCAATTTTAGTTATATGAGTCTTAAAATACATGCCAATTTAGATTGTTCTTCTTACCAGAGCTTGTAATTACGTTTCAGGACAGCACTGTAATGGCTGGCTAGGCTCCTTGTCTGTATGCTCCTGTTTATGCTGAAAAACCGCAACTGGAAAAGGATATACCCACTGACTACAAAAAAGTGGATGTTACATTACAAGGCTCAAGTTAGTGGCCGGAATGACAAAAATAACTTTGTTGTCATTCATTTGAGGTGGATAAACTTTTGCCGTGGCACTAAAGCTGACATTGTATAATTAAGGCCCATTGTTTTCACTTTTCACCCCCCCCCCCCC